GTGCATAGTGAATTGACCAAAATGTTTGTTTTAAGGATTTGGCAGAACAAACAGCCCTGGGGCTGCAAAGATGATCAGTCCACTTCTACCAGCCTAGTATGCATCCTGGAGGACCCTGAATGTTTCAAAAAGAGAAAGTCCAATATTACTTCCTCTTCTGTTAAATGTGGGGGCCATGACGATTGAATTAAATTCAATGAATATTTGTTGAGGTCCTACCACATGCTTTGTAGAATTTTAAGCATGTAGGATACACCAGTGAACTAAACAAAGATGTCTGTTTTCATGGAGCTTAGATGAAATAATGTATTTGAAAATGTGCTATAAGCCCTATTGAGCCACACACAGTGATAATTGTCCTTCAGGTTTATAATAAATTGGGAAATCCTGAATATTTCTAACTAATATGCCTATGTACTATTATTGGAAATGGTACTATAACTTAAGGCTGTCGTCAAAGTAATGTGAATGGAATTCTTTGCTTCCTCTCATGTGCTTGGTTCTGGTCCACTCACTGCGTTGTAAATTTCTCAAAAACTGGGATGAGGTCTTCCATCTTTTATTTTCTCTGTGTTCCCAGGACCTAGCATAGTACTGGAGTCAGAGTAGGCTATACATAAAGCTAAATATGGGAGTCTAGAGCAAGAGAGAATGTGAAAGAGATATATCTATATAGATTTGTAAGTGATTTATTCCAAATCTGCACCCTCCATCCTCACTGCTCCCTGCACATTTATCTCTTCCTTAGAAATGCTCTCACGTCCCAACCATGAAGTCTTTGCTGCTCTGTCAGTCTACATGACTATTCTTTCTCAGATCTCCCATTGTATTATGGCCTCATCCATAGAAATTAATTTAAGTGTGTCTGTCTTATGTCATTCTCTAAAAGTAGTAAATGTCAGTTCAGGCACAGTTCTGTATTTACTTGAATTATCCCTCTCCCCCACCCACATACAATATCCAGCAGATTTCGAGAGTGAAATAAATAAGTTATAGTCTAGATCTTTCTGGTGGAAGAAGCTCTGATGTCCAGAGGTATGTGTGTCCATGTGTGTTACCATGTGGAAATGCATGCATGTGCTCAATATGTTTTCCCTCCTTACTCCTCTCCATTAAGTTCTGATGTTTGTATCTGGAACCTGCTATTGGTATTAGCTAGGCAACAGTTGTACCAAAGATATAATTGTGATATCCTCTTTCCTACAGCTTTGTCTGTGATTGGTAGTATATGATTCTAAAAAACAGTATGCTAATTTTTATGCTAGTTTTTATTTTCTTGTTCTGAATCAGTCTCTCAAAGCATGGTCATCTGTCTCAGAATCAGAATTTTATATGAAACATATAAAATGCGAATTCCTGGCCTTTACTCCCAATTTCCTGAATCCAAGTCTCTGAGGGTGGAGCTCTTAGGTCTGTATTTATACCAAGCAGCCTTGGAGATTCCAGAGTACACTCACATTTAAGAAACACTGTCCTTGGGTGCACTGTTAGCAAGAAAATTACATTGTGAAAGGTCCCTGGGTGGAAAGCTAGCAGCTAAATTCAGGACTTTTCCTGTAATGGGAATGTGCTTTTGGAATTGGTTTGCTCTCCCAGATCAATAGAGCGTTAGCATCTTAGGTTTTAGGGCACAGGGAAATATTCACTTGTGACTCACCAAAGCAGCATGTGTGTACGTGTATGCCATGGGTAATTACATTCTTTGAATAAGCACTTTAAAAAATGCCTATTATTTTTTTCTGTCAAGTAAAATAAATAAAATAAGTGAAATGAAAGGCATCTGTAATAAAAGTCAAAAAATATATATAAAGTGAACCTCACAAACTAGTGATAACTAATGTTAATGTATACAGTAGTACCC